ATTGTCAAAATTGTTGGTTCGGTACAATTTTATAATACCAGTTTGGTAAAATATGTAAACAAATCGTTAAACTAATGAGCTTTAAGTGAGAAAGACAAAGTGATAGGCGTGGGCAATGAGCTAGGGCATAGGCACGTGAAGACAGAATAAACTAGAACGGAGAACTGGCAACAGCGCACACGAGAAGTAGGGGGGACAAACACACTGCTCAAGCGCTACAACACATTAGTGGCATCCTGTCCACACACCGTTGATATATACCGAATTGCGGCACGGTGCCACCATTAAAAACTAGAGTGTTTGATGTTAAAATGGAGTGTTCATTAGAAATATCAATGTAAACAAGGTTTTGGTAAAAATCATGGTTCAAAAGTTATCGTAAATTATGTAATTTTCACATAAAAACCCCATAAAATAACAAAAAATAGGATTTTAGAAAAAAATCTGGTTTTGATTTAACATAGTATGTTATGGTCCTTAAAATTTTGATAGTTTTTTTTTAATTTTTTAGAAATTTTGATTTTTAATGGGGATTTCCCCATAAAATAACGGAAAAATAGGATTTTCCCAAAAATGGCCTGAACGTTTTGATTAAAATTTAGTATGTTATAGTCCTTTATATTCTGAACAAAATGGTACAAATTTCTGTAAAACTTACGGTTCAAAAGTTATTGTAAATTATGTTATTTTCCCATAAAAACCCCATAAAATAACGGAAAAATCTGATTTTCCCAAAAATGGCCCGAATGATCTCGAAAAAAATTTAGTATGTTTTTAGTCCTTTAAATTCTGAACAAAATCGTACAAATTTCTATTTCCGTATATTTACTCTCACCGCTTACACATGATAAAGGTTGTTGACAAACTTATGGGAGAAAGTATGTGTCAGAATGCTGATCCCGTTTATTTTTAGTAAAGGTTTGAGTTATTAAGGTGCTTAGCTAAAATTCGAGATACTGAGGGGATAAATTCTGACAAAGATGTTACTTCACATCCTTTGTAACTTGAGCTCAAGCTATTTCTACGTCCTGGAGGGAAACTCGTAGAAACAAGATAATAGTTATTTGTGTAGCTAGTGCGCAAAGTGGCACTTTGAAGCACATGAGAGAAATGTTCCCCACAAGCCGCAGGCTAGTGTGGAAAGTTTCTCGAGTGCAGCAAAGACACTATGTGCTCACGTTATACATTACATTTTTCCTACAGTTACTATAAACACAAAGCTTATAAATAATTAGTCTTTCAAACACCAAACAACACGTTTTAGGTTAGGTTGGATCCAAGCGTTGAAAGAAAGTAGAATGTTAAAATTAACCCTCCGAGTGTTATTTGTCGATGCGTCAACACATAACACACTTTGTGTAGTGTTTTGTGTCGATGCATTGACTCACAAACACTGATTACGGCGAAGGCTCTATGACTGACAAAATCGGATTGAACTGGATCGAGTTAGGTATTGTTTTATTTTGCAGATTCAGAGCTTTCTCCGGAGGTCTGTCTCTAAGCGTTTTTCATTTTAGTTCCGAAAATATTGTAGCAGACGACTGACGTGCGTATTTGTAAACAGCTCGGTTAACCTCGCACCGATGACTGATGTGTTTTATTACTTTTATCATTGTTTTAGTGTTAAAAATAAAAAGTAGTGATATACGTGGTGCATTATAAGAAGATTTAAGTGATTTTGAAGGGCTGGCTGATGATCCTGAAGAAGTAGGTAGTGATATTGATGTAAATTATCAGCCAGATTCCTAGCTATGGTTAGGCTATGCATTCTTAGCCAAACGCTATGTACCGAAATCTGTTTTTTGCCCATAACTTATTTATTTGCAAATCTACTTCCTTATATTATTATATATTTGTAATCCTCATAAAATTTAGAACAAAGTGGCTATTTTCAAATATTTATAGGCCTATAATTTATACAATTTCATTGAGCGCAAACTTATTTTTTTTTTAAACAAATGTTCCTTATGTTTTATGTATAATATTGAAGCCCATGATTTTCCAAACAAAATGGTATATAGAACAGTATAATTAACATTGTTTTCAAGCTTCTCAGATCCGTTTTAATAAAACCTTGCAAATGAGCAAAAAATAGGCAGACATTAAGGCCAAAACAAGGGACACTCGGAGGGTTAAACAAAAGATAAAGTTGTAGTATCAATACTCATAAAGGCTGTGAAACGCTGCACCAGCTGATCGTAGTCATAGTATTTTTAGGTGTTGCCGACTTATTTTCAAGTGTACACGTATTACGTGCCTTATAAAAGCACACTGTTTTGTGTTGTTTGGTTGGAATACTGAAGTGCGACAAAAGTAAGTAAAACATGCATCTGTGAATGTCTTTGTCAGTATAATGAACCTCTTTTTCTTTAACAATTAACCTTCAGCCTCATACTTTTACTGGTTTTTTTAAAGTGTTAAAGAATATAAGTGAAAACCCACGTTCCCTAACAATTTTGACTATTTTTACTAACCAGAAACGAGTGCCTAAATAATTTTTCTTTTTTTTATCATCCATCAACATTTTACATTGAACATGACGTCCGATGTGTACAAAATAATCACAAGAACTGACAGGCTAACAGTATTAGACAAAAAAAAGAAGATGGATTTTCATGTCTCAACAAGAATCGAAACACAGCTGACTTGCACAGTTTTCATACAACTTAAGGTAATAGAGTAACATTGTGAGAGCCTGCGACTTTTAAAGATAAACTTAAGCTATTTAAGATTGTGAATAACAAATCTTTGAGTAATACAGGTTTAGTATAATTGATTTCAAAACAGTAAAATTCTACTATTTATTATTTTTCAAGTATTTAAACCCTTTGACTTATAAAGGTACTTTGAGCATTGTGAGAGTTACCAGTGGCGTAGCCCGGTTCGGAGCGCCCTGGAGCAGGGATGGCCCAAGCCACCCCCTGTACCGGGGGGTCCGGGGTCCTCCCCCGGGAAAAATAATAACTGTAAACTAGCGTTTTTATGCAATCTAGACATAATAATATTTAATACATGAATTGGTATTTTAATTAGGTTTAACCTATTTAATTAGGGTGTTTGAGAATAAAAACATGAATTTATATTAAGTTCATTGGACAGAATTTATCCTTACTTAGAAATCTCCTCAAAACAGGATAGCTTTACCAAGTGCACGTGAACAGCGGGAACTGAGCAAGGACACAAATTTACAAATGGCGGGTAGATGTCGGTGACGTTTAAGCACTTAGTTAGAAGATAATGCCCGTTTGGGCATTATCTAAGGCATAACTGAACAGTACAAACATAAATCGTTTCCTATTTTTACAGGATTTTTTACATTATTGTAATAACTAAATCGGGTTTTGGCGGGCTTAGCAGCTTTAACTCAACTCTCTGTTCAAAACTTATTACCACCTCACCGGTGCATACTTTGTAGAAATATTTTTAACCGAATTCATAGTTCATTATTAGCACTAAACAACACTTTTAAAGAAACAGTGGTATATTAATAAATTAACAACTCGAATACCGGCGCGCCCGGCACGATAAACATAACCTCACGAATCACTACAGTATTCACTTATTTTACTGATCAGTGATCTCATAATAATTGTGTTAACAGAACGCAGCACTCAGTGCTCGTGGCAATAGTTAAAACTACTATTTGGACGGAGTCCCAAATGCCCTACAGTATATCTGTTGCATTAGAGTGTAGATGTAGCGCTGTGATTGGTAGAATATTTCCATGCAGCTCATATGGGAGTTTGGACTCATACCTACTGACTCCCACCCTCTTTCCTCCCCTTCACCTTCCTTCCGCTACCATGTTTGACAACAACATAGTAAAAAAAAATCATAGCCTTGCGCAGCCCCCGCCCTCTAGTGCTTGCCGCCCTGGAGCGACTGCTCTACTCGCTCCACTGTCGCTACGCCACTGTGAGTTACTGGAATTTCAAGGGTATCATGAAAAAATTATATCAAGGTTCATGTTGTTGGGGTCCTACCTTCTTTTTGTAACAACATAACTTCATGTAACATTTTGTATAATTTTTGAACTGAAATGCCAACCTCTTGTAGTATAGGATGGAGCAAGTGTCTTGCTGGACACTACTAGCCCTACAAAAATATGGCAGTAGCCAAAGATGACAATAGGATATTTTCAGTTGTGTTTCTTATACATCAATCTATCTATGTTGTACTTATAATCTATATTTTCTTTATCCTTTTTTAAAAACTATTAAACAAGTACTAAAGAACAATCCAAAGATTACAATTAATTTGCAGGATTTGTTCTCCATCAGTGTGCATTATTTGCTAGAGACATTATTTTTTCAGACATTGGCCACTTAATTGCAAAGTAAGAACAAACATATTACTTAAGGCGTAAACGTAAAAAAGGCGTAAAAACATGTCCATTCACCACAATTGTGAACAATGTGTCATTTTCGACATTTTTGTTAATGATGAAATTTACAAAAGTAGAAAATTAAACTCACAAGTTAAACAAAACTACTAATTAATTAATTACTTGGCATGTTTTATGCTATTTTGAAGGTAATTTCAATTTAAGCCGTATACCAAACTTCCACATACGACCTGAGAGCCAGTAGACGGGTTGTCTAAAATATTCTAAGATTAGTTGTATATAAAAATTAAATAAATACATCTAACCTATTCTGATTAACAATTGTTCACTGGTTTAAAAAAACAAAATGCATGGATAGCCCGTTTCTGATCTGCTGTTTCATCAGGCTAAAGTAGTGTAGTGATCTAAATAACAAAAATTAATAATATTTTATGCAAAAGAGGGTTGAAGTGGTTTGACACGAGGTCCTGCTACACATTGCATAATGAATATTAAGGATAAAGACTGGACTAGTTGATTAAGTTTGGTTTGGTGTGGCTTAATAGTTTTTAAAATATACAAGGATTAGATAAGAAAATGAATTGTTAAAATTGTGTATTGATATCTAGGCCTATAGGTTTGCATTTGACCTTTAATAATAAATAAGACAAAAAACTTAATTTTTAAACATTGTTATTATTATTATCATCACGTGGTTTCCATAAAACAGGATTTTACTTAGTTTGAATTCCTAAAAAGACTTGCCAGCAAGTATAATTCACAAATTTGTTTTTTAAATTATAACATCAGTATAAGAACTAAGAACTTTGATGAGTATAGTATGGTTACAGTAAAAATTATGTAAAGGGGCACGATAAATACAACTTTTGACAAATCACAAACTGTGAAATTTTAAAAAGAACTTTGTACTTTATACACTCCTCAGTAAATAATTCCATACTCGACTACACAACACAAACTTAATACTACAAAAATATTCTTTCTCCCAAGTTATTGCTATGTTTTTAGTTATTTATCTTCTAATGAAAACCACAATTTCAACTCAAATAATAAAAACACAGATTTAAAAATGGTACGTATGTTTACAAAGAGTAAAAACAATGCACAAAAAACTCATTTAAAACAACAACCAGAATATAGTCACAAGCTTTCAAAATGAATTAATATTATATTTAAAATTACACCTGTTTGAAACTTACATGAAAATAACTTAATAAGGTATTAATTACTGACTATCACAGATCACAAATTATAATGCTATATAGGTACATAAATTATTTATTCAAACTTGGCTCCAGTTAGAGCCAAGAAACAAAAAACACAAAAATACAGTTAACTGTATAACTAGCCAATAATGTATACGTTAATTCAACATAGAAATTGTTTTTACCATTACTGTACTAGTAATGTACTGTAAACAGTACTGTTACTGTACTAGTAGAAAATCATACATTCAAAATCACTTTTTTACCCTCGGAAAAAATAATTTCAAAGAGCAACACCCCATCTAAACAATATTACAATTACCCTGAGTTGTAAAATTTTTGATCAGGGAAAAGTGTGTAGGTAATAGATACTAAATAGTAACAATTAATGTTTCTTCAAATTAATGAATATCTTTTACATAACCCTCTCTTATATATTGCATGAAATTCACTTATATTACACTTATGATACGCAGCATCCTAAACCATTATAAATAAATGAGGTCAGGAATAACTTGTAAATAGTAGACTTGGTGCCTTCAGGTTAAAAGAGGAAACACAAAGAGAAATTTCATTACAATACCAATCATATCAAATAATTGGAAATACTTATTTACTAAAAATGTATTTTGTGAAAAGGCTATTAGCCAATGGCTAGCTGATTGCTTTTGGATATGCACTAAATTTATATAAGTTTGTCGTGGGGTCAGGTGGGAGCTGCAATATCTTTGTTGAGATGGGTCTCGATATCTACCCGACATATAGGACACCGTTTGTTGGATGACAGCCACTGGTCCACACATTCTACGTGAAACAGGTGCATACAAGGTAGTCTCCTGCAATCACACATCATTGATCAATATTGGCTGCTGATTGAGTATTGTGGTCATCTTAAAGATAAAATACAGCAAATCTGCAGACTAAGTGAATTTCTATTAGCATGTTTAGATTTATACCAAAATATTTCCTTAAAATGTAAGTAATATATTATTTAAATAGGAAACTACAGCAGATTTCTTTTCATCTATATAAATAAAATACATTTTTGTCTGTACATTGCGTAGAATTATGAAGTTTTTGATTATTTTTACGATTTATAGCCTAAGAAAGCTGAAACGAGTCTTATCTCAATTTCTGTCTGTCTGTCTGTCCCTCTGTCATTCTGTCTGTAACGCCATAAAATGTCAATTTACACGGCCTACTCCTAGAAAACTAGAGTACCGATCAAGATTCCAATTATTTTTCTGTATTCACTGGATTGGTGAGAGTGTCTTTGACTATTAAAATATGGCCTCGCTTCTTTGGAAATAAAAGAACGAACCATCAAAAACACAATTTTGTGCGATTTTAGTCAAGTTTTCTCCCAATGTTTACTATTACATTTTATGAAATAACGAACAGCTTTTTGGATTAATTCTCACTTCGAGCTGCCACTAATGTGTTTACATTAAATGTTGTTAACGAATACCGCATCCATTTCCGGTCACGTTTTGTAAGCAAATCCAAACCAAGTGAGATTAAACTTGTTGTGCCTTAAACGGATTTAATTAATTGCAAGTGCAATAATTGTTCTTAAATTTTGATAACTGGGGCAAAAACCGTGAATAAGTGTTGTATAGGGCTGGGAAACTTACATTCTTTTTATCATTGTCACCAACAGCTTACAAAGAAGGTTTCCACTCGACGGCGCTTCAAGGAAAGTTGTGTAACTGCAGTTGGTAATCGCGGATGTTGCTGCGATCTTGAAAGATCTATCCGATTTCGCTGTGATTGTAACAGTGGTTTAACTTACAAATGTAGCTAAACTCGTTTTTCCAATGTGTCACTTTCGGTTTCTACTCATCCCTTTGTGCTGCAATATCTGGACCATACCGCCAAACTTGGCCCATAGCCAATCTCTTGGGTATGTAGGCCTAATTATTCACAACCACATTTCGATGACGATTCTTGATACCGGTTTTTTCCCCAAAAATACATTTGGGAAATAAAACTACAAACGTCCAAAAACCCAGCTTTGTGCGATTTTTTTACTTTTCCTCCTAATGTTTGCTAGATATACTGATCATTGTTTAGATACCACGTCATCTATTAAATAAGAAACCTTTGTTTGGACAAAGGTGGTTTCTTCAAACTGCCATCGATATGTTTAAATTAAACGTTGATTACAAATAATGCTATTAAGAATAAGAATATGTTTATTGTCTTTCAGGCTACATAAGCATTGACAAAGTCAAATTTACAGCAGAAATGCCAAGTCTTTATATACTAATTAGGCCTAAGGGTAATATCACATATCATAGAAATATACAATTCATAGGAACTATACAAGAATCAAAAATTATACATAACAGATTTCAAACATTAAAATTCTATCTGTTTTAATAAGAAAAACTCACTAAGTGAATAGAAAGGATTTTTAGATAACCACTCATAAAATTTGTTCTTAACAACTTTAACAGTATATTTCTTACTAAGATTAATTACTTTATTATATACCTTAAGGGATAGTACTACATGACTAGACAGTGATTTGCTGAGCCTATTGTACTCAATTGCTGCTTTATCCCTATTGCGAGTGTTGTAACTGTGCATATCCCCAGTGAGTGTAACAAGATCCTGATTTTTTAGTATATAAGATACAAGTTCAAAAATGTAAAGGTTGATAATGGTTTGTATTTCCAACTGAATAAATAAAGGCCTGCAATGAGCACTTACATCTGACTTGGTCATAACTCTAATTGCCTTCTTCTGAAGGATAAGAATGTCATCAATTTTAGCACAGTTGCCAAACAAAATCAGACCATATCTAAGAATAGATTGAAAATAGGCAAAGTAAGCTGTTTTTAGATAATGACTTGGAACGCACATTGTCAATCGTTTTAAAAGATAGATAACTCGTGAAAGTCTACAAGATATGTGCTCAATATGTGGTTGCCAGTTTAACTTGTCATCAATATAAATTCCTAAAAACTTTGCATTTGAGATCAAATCATCAGTAATTACACCATCTACAGACCTTAATGTAAATAACATTTTTTGAGTTTTTTGATTATTAAGTAAAAATCCATTTGCTTTAAACCAAGTCGCAGCGTCTTTCAAAGTTGTCTGTGCAAGTAAATTGAGATGAACAAAGTCATCAGAAATGTCAACAAAAGTGGTATCATCAGCATATAACAGAGACTTTGTACGCACGTCTATCGGAGGGTACAGACTGTACTTAGTAGGTCTATCAGAGGGTTTCCACTATACTTAGAAGGTCTATATCTGAGGGTACAGATTGCAGAACAAATTGTTAGATGAAGGTCTATTTGAATAATCCGACTATACATACAACACTACTTTTGAGATTAGTCCAAGTTCACTGAGTCCGTCATATTGGATTTTGTACTAAAACTTTATTTCGTAATTAATGGGAAATAACTTTGATTTTCAAAAACGTTTTTGAGACAATCCAAAACCAAGGGAGATCAATAACTTCGGGACTTGATTAACTCATTTAATTGGTCGTAAGTACTATAGTTCTTAACTGTAAACGTTGGGGAGCGAGCTGGCGTAGTGGTTAGAGCGCGGGACTTCAGTCCCTGAGGTCCCGGGTTCGATCCCCGCCAAGTCACCAATGGATTTTATCTAAGTGATAATGCCGCAACCCCTAGGTCTAGCCTGAAGTAATGTGAAAAACAATCCCAGGCTCGTGCCTAGCGTCCTTAGGACAAAAAAAAAAAACAAAAAAAAAAAAAACTGTAAACGTTGGTTTTTGGTTCTGGTACTTTCCCTTAGAACTAATAAGAGGAAGAGGGATATCAAAAGTAACAACAATAACAATACAGTAAATGCAAATACTTGGACAATTAAAGAACTAAGAGTAACGAGAAATAAATAAACAGTTTAATTAATAATAAAAATATGTATACAATGAATGGCACATGGACCAACCTAGAAAACAATAAATAATAAAAATAAAAATAACCATGATAAATATTTTTGTGAAAACAATAAATAATACTAATAACAATAAAATGATAGATATTTGAAGTTAATAACTATTGTAAATTTTTGCCAATCTAAATCGTCTTTTGTAATTCGTTACATAAAGTATGCCGTCATTTAAACACCATTTCGAGTCATCTTCGGATTAAGCAAAGCAAATATAAATTGTCATTACAGACGGCATTATCACTGCACGATAAGTAGGTTTAAATACGATTATCATAAAATTTGACGACACTATCAAAAATTTCAAATACTAATTTTGTATGTGCTTTGTTTTGGTTAAAGCGTAGCAAATTCAATTCTGTATTTTTGTGTGTATGTCTGTTGGTAACACATTAATATCCTTATTTCTCAGTGTTTCTTGGAAAAGACAGGGGCACCTTTGTTATTGAAAATTTCAACCGGAATAAAGTGTGCAGTGGTGAGGTTGAGGTAACATTTTGAACTAATTTTAACCAGTGTGGAAAGTATCAATTATTATAGGTAGGAATGGACGGGTCCCGAAATTTCGGGAAATTTTCGGAAAAAAAATATTCCCGATTTTCGGGACGGGATTACATTTGATTCGGGAATTTTTCGGGACGGGATTTGATCCGATCGTCGGCGATTTTGCCGCTTCGCGAGTGACGATGACCCCGCTATCGCGAGAGAAGTTCACAATAGTTCTGCGAACGCAATAGGCGAAGTCATTTCGCCGATCGCGCCGTGACCGCGGAGTCATACCAACGATCCCGCCGAGACCGCGAGTCTACCGACGATCGCGCCGTGACCACGGAGTCATACCAACGATCACGCCGTGACCGTGGAGTTATACCGACGATTGTGCCGTGACCACGAAGTCATACCGACGATCGCGCCGTGACCCTGGAGTCATACCGACGATCCCGCCGAGACCACGGAGTCATACCGAGAATCAATAAATTTTGTGAAACAACAAATTTTATGTTCTTTCACATATAATGGAAGTTCTTCACCATTTATTAAAAGTTACTTGCAAAAAAGCTAAGCAGCCTCCGAATTTATAGTAATGAGAAAATACTGAGTTTGGGATATTTTTGTTAAACTTTGTACAACTAAATCTAGACTCCTACTCGACCGATTTCGTTAATTAGTTGGAAAGCCTAATTCATGTAGATTTGCAAATAATTAAATAATTATGAAAGTGTGATTTTATTAAATATCTGTGGTAAAAAAGTAAAAATAACAAAAATAGGCTACATTATAAAATGGTTTTTATCAAGTTTCTGTTTGTAGCCAGCTTTTGGCTGCCTGTATTACGTTTTTTCAAGATATGCATAGTAGTTATTTGTATTAAATTTTATTCTCTTTCAGAATATCACATTTATAGTACTTTGGTCAATTTCCCTTCCACTTAAAAGTTATTGGCAATAAGCTAAGTGACCTCCAAATTAACCACTATAGTGGTGAGAAAATACTGAATTAGATATATTTTTGTTAAACTTTGTACAACTAAACTTAGACTTCTACCAGACCGATTTAGTTCCTTAATGGGTCGGGTCGTTGGAAAGCTAATTCGTGTAGATTTGCAAATAATTATGAAAGTTAGATTTTATTACGTTTGAGCAAAACAATAATACATTTAAAACACATTTTTTTCAAGTTTATATTTGTAGCACCCTTTAGGCTGCCTTTATTGAGTATTTTTAATAAATACATAATAGTAATTTAATTTGTAGGAAATTTTATTCTCTATCAGAATATCACCTTCCACTTTGGTCGATTTCTTCATGATTTCAAAGTTATTTGCAAAAGCGACAACCTACCAATTTATAGTGGTGAGGAAATACTGAATTAAAGATGTTGTTGTTAGACTTTGTACAATTAA